AATAAACACATTCCAAATTTTATGTCATTAATGACGTATTTAAATAACTATTTAATTTGGCACTCCTCACATTCTATAAACGCAGATTATTTCCTGAAAGTTTTGTTAATCGAGTGGTTAAAGCTGCAGATGGGAGTTTTGAGAAAACATTAAGACTCAAAACCATCTGTCAGGACAGAGTGACAATTTTAACAAATATGTAAAAGATAAAAACAAATGATAAAAGTTACCTACTGCAGCTTTCAAAGGGTATTCATTGTGATTCGTTTCCCATCCAAGTCATCTCCACTTTGCCATGCTTCTCCTCCTGCACACTTTGTCCTAGAGCTGACATTGTAATTTATATCTGTAAAGCTCCTGTGCCAAATGATGGCTATGCCTTTTGGTGCCTGTACAACCTATAGTTTTTGAAATATTAATGTTTAAAATCAAATAATGGGAGTCAATGGAGCCTTGTATGCGTCCAATACTGCCCCATGCTGTATCTACTCAGTACTGCACCATAGTTTAATAATATTTAAACTCAGTAGTTCAGTGTTTACAATACAAACATGATTGTATTTTAATACTTCACTATAATATTGTCCTAATATTCCTTTATTGTTGTAATATATTGCAGTTTAGTGTCAACAATTGCATTGGCAATATGGCCTCTTTCAGCACACATACAAACCTAACACTTGGAGTACCTACTGCAACAGCTCCTATAGTCTCATGGTGAACACTACGGGCTTTCATGTGGGAGATCAGGGATCAATCCCAGCTATAAACAAAATATTTCATTTAAACTACATATTTTCTCATTGTCATATTCTCACACAATTACCCTCATTACAAACAACTGCTGACTTGGCAGGYACAAGCWGGTACTTGATTAGCAAACACATTTCAACTTGGTCACAGTTCAAGCTGCAGGCAAAGGCATGCTCCAAGGCAATGCACACTTGTTTTTACATCGTAAAAACCCATGTCTAGTTAAATTTATTTTCATATTTTGTGGGCCGAATGTGATGAGCTTACAGGCCACATATGGCCCAGGAGCCACCAGTTGACGCTCACCTTTTTGCAGACCTTATGAATTGGACCACGAGCTGAAAATAAGAAGCTGATTTCATGTTTTACTGATTTAAACGTGAAGCAGCTGATTTCTGCTCCACTATTACAAATATTTTCTGCCTTTCTTTGTTTTGCAACAACACAAGCTGAATATTTTGTTGTTTTGTATCCTACCCCTGCAGCCCCCCTGCACACAGAAACACAACGATCAGGTGTTTCATTCAACACGAGGCAGCAACAGAAACATTTAGCTGGGTGCAGACATCAGCTGAATGTCAGCGGCTCAGCCCTCATGCAGCAGACAGTGAGTCTGAGAGGAAACACACACACACACACACACACACACACACACACACACCAACACACAACTTACCTCTACATCCTCCATCTGGGGTCCCTCAGCTGCCCCCCCATCCCACTGCAGCGGATGTCCGAGGGGTCTGCAGCTCTCAGAGGAGCAGACAGAACTCTGGGAGACTGAGTCCTGACCATCCAGAGACAGAAAACCTGCCGGAGGACAAATTTCTGCTGACTCATGAATCCTGCAGCTGCAGCGCAGCGCCACCAGGGGGCGGCACCGACCCAGAAATCACACCCGGGCCTCTGGGTCCAACATTATGAAACAAATAAAAGGGTTCATTAACAGAGGTAGTTTTATTGTGAAAATTCATCTTCATCCACCCATGAGACTTTCAGCTCCACCTGCAGCTGAAATGTATTTAATCCGACTCGACCTTCACTTTTACGCAGCAGAGAAGTCAAACATGAATAAAGCAGCCACACATGGGAGAGAAGTGGAGGATTATCAGAGTCGACTCGTGTGCTTTAAAACAGTCACTTCCTGTTTTAAAGAAATGTTACTCAAGATTACAGTAAATTTACCAAACAACCAGGAAATACGTTTGTTGTCTAATCTGTGATATTCTGRATTAAATGCTCCTTTCTTTCTGTGGAGAACTTGGCATGCAGGGTCTCTGTGTGCATCCTCCTCTTCCTCTTGACATTCTTCATCACGCTCGCTCCTCAGCTTCCTGCAGAGAGGAGGACACCTCAGGAGGAGGTGGGGGGGGGGGGGGGACATTAAGGTCTCCTGTTTGGTCCCCTCTTCCTTTTAATCTGATAAAACAAGGATTCCTTTCAGCGTCCTCCGTCCAGCTGCACAAACACTGCGTCCCTGTGTCGTCCTCACAGAGCTAAAGACAGAACCACTGAGAGGCGAATATCAGCCGAAATATACTGAAGGAGCTGAAACTGAGACCATACAGCTAAAAGAAGCTGAACACTGAAAAATGTCAGCAGAAAAACACTGAAGGAGCTGAAACTGACTCAATAAAGCTAAAAATAGCTATATAGCAGCTAAAGGCAAAAATAGTAAGAATATTAGCTAAAAGTCAAAAGAAGCAGAACACTGAGAGCTAATTAGGCAAAAATACCAAAGGAGCTAACGTCTATACAGATAAAATAAGCAAAACATCACCTAAAAGCTAAAGAGGACTAGCTCAAAGCTAAAATATGGATGTCAGATAAAAGTTGAAAGTAGAACATAGCAAAGAGCTAACTTTAAAGATCTAGACTAAATATGGAAAACTTAAGGAAAAAGTAACAAAATGCTAGCTATAAATCTCAAAAGACTAGTTAGAGGCTACTAGTAGCAAAAGGCTAGTTAGGGGCTAAAAGCAGCAAAAGCCTAGCTAAACACTAATAGTGACAAAAGGCTAACTAAAAGCTAAAAATAGCAAATTACTGGCTATCAA